ATGAAGCCCAGGAAATTCAAATCCCGGGCTTCATTAGCAAGTGCGGTATGCATACATTACCCTCCTAGTTCGAACTAGGAGGGTAGTGTAGACATACCCCAAGTTCGAATTAAGTTCGAACTAACGGAGCGCTAGTGTAGCGCCTAGGAAAGTTAGTTCGAACTAACGTCCGTTAGTTCGAACTAACTTTCTAGTGTAGACATACCCATAGAGAGCTGGGGCTGGGCTGACTCATACTGAAAGTGAAGGCAGCAGGTCACAGCTCATCTGCCCAGCTCCCTGCCCACGGGGCGGATCACTTAGCTGGCCTGTTTGCTTTCTCCTCAGCCCTGCCCAACAGAGAAATCACCACAGCTGGGCCACCTCGCCACCCTTCCTGCACGGGCCTTACACTGCCCTCATTGCAGAGACACTGTTAGCTCAGGAGAGCCCCCCAGCTCCACCCAGGCTATGTCTACACTGGCAGCTTCCTGTCTTGTGCAAGAACACGTCCACACTGTCATGTGCGAGCTGTGCCTTTGCACAAGGGCATCCATGGCAGAGTGGATGTTCTCTTGTGCAAGAAAGCTCCGATGGCCATTTTAGCCCTAGGACTTTCTTGCGTGAGAAACCCCTGCCGATCAGGAGAGCCCCCCAGCTCCACCCAGGCTATGTCTACACTGGCAGCTTCCTGTCTTGTGCAAGAACACGTCCACACTGTCATGTGCGAGCTGTGCCTTTGCACAAGGGCATCCATGGCAGAGTGGATGTTCTCTTGTGCAAGAAAGCTCCGATGGCCATTTTAGCCCTAGGACTTTCTTGCGTGAGAAACCCCTGCCGAGCGTCCACACTGCCCTCTTGTGCAAGAGCTCCTGGAACAGATGAAATCTACCAATCCTAATCAACCCTGGGGTTCTCTCTCTCTAGAGACTGCCCTATGTTGGGCGCAGGGGGAGATTAAGCGGCCCTTTCCAGCCGGGTTCCTGGGTGGGGCTGGTGTGGCTCCTGTGGGGTGCTGGGGGCAAGGGGAGGTTCAACTTCCCCTGGTTCCTTTGCCCCTGCACTTCTGCTGCTTCTCCCTCCTCAGCCCCAGTTGCTTTCTCATTCTCAGCCCCTCTGCTTGTCTCTCCACCCCTCCTCTGCTCTGCTGGGCCCTGCAGCAGGTACTGCGGGCACACTGGTTCCCTTCCCCCAGCCGTGTTTAGCTCTACCCCACCCCCAGCAGGCTGCTTTCCACTGCTTGTTCCCCCTCCACCTTCTTGTGTGTCCATGCCCCCCCTTCTTCCCCATGCTCTTTAAATAACTGCCCCCCTCATCTCCCCAGTGCAGCCGGAGGAGCCGCTCCTTCCATCCTGTGCTGGGAACTGTGCCCCTTACTCCTTTCTTCCTCTTCCCCTTTCTGCATTGTTGCCCTCGCACCCTGCTTCCAGCCTAGTGGGGGGAGTGGTGAATCTTCCTCCCCTCCCTTTCCCCCTGGAGCCAGACAGGAACCCCCTCTGCCACATCCATCTTGTTTGCCCCTCTAAGGGCCTCAGAGCACACAGGACACAGAGAGCAATAAAATCAGCATAGTCTTTGATGCCTTGACAGAAGGCCCGGATATGCTGGCTCATCGGATATGCTGGCTCATCGGATATGCTGGCTCATCCTGATCCTGAACAACTGTAAACATAGATAAGAGGGCCATCAAGCCAGTCGTTGACCAAGAGGCTGCAGAAACTGCCCTTGGTTAGCACTGATATTGATACACTCCCACAACAATCCTGGGAGAGGAATCTCCCACTGAGTAAAGAATGTCCAGTACTCCCAATTTAGTTCTCTCTCTTACAAGTGTAAATTACGTTCACAACTCCCTTGTAAGAACTGAAGTCACAAAGATGAACCAGCACAATTTGGCACCTTAGACAAGAAAAAGAATACGTGGCCCCCATGGGTATAAAGATGGGTCCAGCAGCACACTCACTTTGAGCATCAATCTACCATCTACCTGCTGGTCGGGTTATGTGATTGACTCCCAAGGTCCACGTGAGGAAGCCCAGCCTCGTATTTGTCTTTCAGAGGAATTGGGGGACCGATCCTGGCCTGACACACTGGAATTGAGGGACGCAGAAGGGGGTAAAAATTGTACCTGGATGTGTTCTTTTGTTTTAGTGCATGCATAGAATTAGAGCTCTATAAAGATTAAGCTGTCACTTGCTACCATTATTTTATCTTCTTTTCCTTTGTAACCATTTTAAAACCTGTATTTGCTAGCAGTTAAGAAATAGAGCAATAGCCATTGTAACCGTATGTTTTATAAGTCTCTTTAATAAACCTGTAAGGCTGTGTCTACATTGGCATCCCTTTCCAGAAAAGGGATGCTAATGAGACCAGTCGGAATTGCAAATCCGCGGGGGATTTAAATATCCCCCTCAGCATTTGCATTTACATGGCTGCCGCTTTTTTCCGGCTCGGGGTTATGCCGGAGAAAAGCACCAGTCTAGACGCGATTTTCCGGAAAATAAACCCTTTTCCGGGAGATCTCTTATTCCTACTTTCAAGTAGGAATAAGAGATCTTCCAGAAAAGGGTTTATTTTCCGGAAAATCGCGTCTAGACTGGTGCTTTTCTCCGGCATAACCCCGAGCCGGAAAAAAGCGGCAGCCATGTAAATGCAAATGCCGCAGGGGATATTTAAATCCCCCGCGGATTTGCAATTCCTAAGTGTCACATTAGCATCCCTTTTCCGGAAAGGGGTGCCAATGTAGACACAGCCTAACTGTTTAAGCTTTAACCTGACTCCTTCAGTTGTTGTAACAGAACCAGACACAATTAAAAGAACTATTGCCGGTCAGGGGTAGATGCAATAAGAGCTAGGTGTTGGGTCCTTCCAGACCCTTGGGGCACCCGTCAGCCTCCTTGGCTGCCCGTTGTGAAGGGACCCTGTCCTAGCAGTTGAAGACTCGGGTGTTTAATAGGGCTCACAGACCACTCATTGCTCTGGCCACCGGCTGATACGCCCCTTGTTCCCTTCTCTGGCACTTTGGCCTTCCCCTTATTGTTCTTGTCCGTCCTTCCTTCCCTGCCCATGACCACAACAGAGGGGCTGTCTGGTGACACCCCTGCCCATCCTTCCCCACCCCTCCCCATATCTAAAAACAACAACTCTTCTGAGGCTGCCAGGCCCCCTGTCATTACGGAGGAGATGGCAGACATGGACGGAGACCTCGGGTCCTCGATTGTTCCTGCCACGGCATCTCCAGTCACCATTAAGGAGGCCCCCCTGATGCAGAGGTATAGTGAGGGTGTTATGTGCCTGGCGGCAATGTCACGTTGCTGAATTGGAGGGAAGCAGCCAGATCGCTGCTGCACCCCTAGGTGGGGGTGTTGGCCCCAGAAATTGGTGTGGGGGGAGCCATGTGGGGTATTGAATGGGAGCTTGTTGTTTTCTGATCCTGTGTACACTGTTTATGTGAGTATATAATGTCTGTGTGTGTAGATCTGTAATCTGTGTAGAAACTGAAGATTTCCCTGCATGTGGTTAAGCATTGGGCAGGGCTGAGCCTGTGGAGCCTGTGGACATGCTAATTACCTGTGGAACAATGGTTCTCAATGGGCCAAAGACACACCCAAAGAATGGGGGCTGTCCTGAGAGCAGCCAGCAGGGAACACAGAGAGGCTGAGGACCAGGTGACCTGCTACATACTAGAAGAGGCCAGGAAGGAGTATAAAGAGGCCATGTGGTCGATGCCATTTTGTTCTCAGCTCAGCACTTCATCCCAGAGGCAGCACTGCAGGGA